GACACTTTGAGAAAAATATCATTGGCCATCATTTGCTTATATATTTTAGAAGAGGGTTTTGAGATGATCTGGTTGTAAGTATCCCCACTGCTTTTTCTTTTTGATAACAGAAGGTTTTAGGATGAGATTTGGAATGTTACTAACCCTTCTGCCTCCCAACCTTCCTGTTTGTCAGCAGCTTACAACATATAGGTTAAATTTTGGATACCAAGAAAAGGCTACTGTGTACATGCTTGGATTTGTGGATAAGGAATTCTGGGGACATTTCTGCTCCCGATATTTTTCAACTATGACAACGAGAGTAATTTATTTCAGAGTGACATGTCTATTGGCATACGATTCAAAACATTATTATCAGCTGTTATGTTCCACCCAGAGCTTTGGAAAAGTGGTATGAGTTTCTCATCCATTGTGCAGCCTAGATTTTGCACTGCAGGAACTTGCTAATTATAAAGATGTATGAAGATTACGCTCCTCAACACATTTTGCAGGTAAGCCATGGGTGGGCTGCAGATAATCTCTGGCCCACATGCAGCACTTCCCTGCTTTTCTAGCTGGCCTCTGCTGAATTTTGGTGACATACATTTTGAAATGTGTGCAGGAAGTATACACCTGGGTTTCAAGCTTAATTGCAGGTTTTAAAATCCCGCTTATTTGCCAGTTCACAATTTCATTGGTTTCTGGAAGTTTAGATATTTAAGGATAACTATTCTTTGGAATATCACTCAAATGATTAAATTTGTCAGCATTACAAATTCAGGACCTGCCTATCTGCGTGACCGCCTCCTCCCCTACGAGCCCACGTGGTCTTTAAGATCTTCCGGGGATGTCCTTCGCTCGCTCCCGCCTCTGTCTCAGGCACGATTGGTGGGGACGAGGGAGAGGGCATTCTTGGTGGTGGCCCCCTGTCTCTAGAACTCCCTCCTTAGGGAGATTAGGCAGGCACCCTCCCTAGCCACATTCCACAATGAACTAAAGACATGGATGTTTCGTTGTGCCTTCGACTGATGACCCTTATTATGACAAATGATTGTACTGTGATCTGTTTTCACTATTTAACCTGAATTCCTATATTACATCATTATTCATATATGTATGTTAAACTGAGATGATCCTGTTTCTGTCAAATTGCTCTATTTCCATGTTATCTCCTGTACCAATTATATTCCTATCCACCTTATTGAACTACCTACCTTTTAAATCACTTCGTATGTTGGCCTCCTTCCCCACTCCAAAATTTTGGGTTGCTGTTGCTTGATGTTTGTTTATTACTGTTATTCTGTTTTGTGTCTTTTTAATTTGTAACTTGCTATTGTTTTGCTTTTAATTGTATGTTGCCGGGCTTGGCCCCATGTAAGCCGCCCTGAGTCCCCTTGTGGAGATGGAGGCGGCAGGGCCGTAGCCAGAAAAAAATTTTGGGAGGGGTTGAAATTTTCGGCCGGGGGGGGGGGGTTGAAATTTTCGGGGGGGAGGGTTGAAACCTGACTCCTAGCTCACGCTGAAGCAAAGAGCACAGCAGAGGGCAGAGCAGCCTTCAATAGCCTGCAGCTCCGTCCCTGTCAACCACCTCCACCAAGTCTGGCCTCCTTAATGAGAGCATTCAACACACACACCCAACTTGGTTGCTTCACTACATCGGCTATTGCTGCAAGTAATGACAGTGTGAATAAATTGTCAATATTTGCTTGAGATAGTGCTTGCAGTTCTGGAGGGACTCCTAATTTTTTGCATCTCATAGACTTAGCATGGGGATTTGGTTAACCAGTTAAAATTCATGAGTAAACCAGGTTTTTTAAAAAAATCTGAAACATTTCGGGGGGGGGGGTTGAACCCCTAAAACCACCCCCTCGCTACAGGCCTGGGAGGCGGGGTAGAAAAATAAAGTTGTTGTTGTTGTTGTTGTTGTTGTTGTTGTTGTTTTTCCTCCTCCTCCTCCCCCTCCTCATTAAATACTGCTTGATTTGGATTGGTGGGCATTATTCAAACTGGGCATAAGATTAATAAAAAATTTCTGAACACAACTTTTATTCCTCAGATTTATGTTCAGAAAATTAATATTAAACAGATTTCAACAAAAAAATGTTTTTATTCAGAAGTATGGAGCTATCTTTCCCAATCCCCAAATAATAGTATTATGTTATGATACTTGGATACGAAGGCCTACTTTCTGATTCGTATTGGCAAATGCAGCCCAAGTCAGTTACCCCTCCTCAGCTTCCCTTCGAATCAGTTTATGTGGAACCTGTATTTGGATGGATTGTCCCTAGCTCTGATCATTTAAGAAAGAAAGGAATGTTACCATTGTGATTTAGAGATATATGGTTGTACTGAATTAACTACTGGATAGCCCTAATTTTAAGATTGTGAGATCTTTTTTCAGGAAGAAATTGGTTGATTGTAGCAGTTATATTTTGGATTAACTGCTAAATCCTGACCAAGAATTCTTGCCAATTTTAGTTTTGCAATATACTTTTCTTCTGGTTGTGTGTGGATTGTGAGAGTGTTGGAACACGTTTTGGTATAATATCAGCTCTCTGTGCCTCACCGCTGCTCTGGGAAGCATTAATTACATCTTTAAGCATATTGAAACGAAGAGGTATACTTTATAAATTTACTAAAAGGACTCGCAGCACTAAATTTGATGTTAATAGATATAGAACCTAGTAGAATAAAGCATTTGATTGACTTGTGCAAATCAACCAATGGAAACCCGCCTAGCTTTAGTATCTAAAATTTCTTTAAGCCCAAAATTACAATTGCTCAACAAAAATGACATTTCAGAATGTTGGATACTGGTATGATGTTTTTTAAATACAAAAACTCAGTGCTTTAACCCAGTGTTTTTGATGTAATACGGATAATATTTCTTTGTGGCAAATAATATGGGCACATCCAGTAATTACCCCTTTCTGGTTGAATGTATTACAGTGTATAAATTTAGAAAGTGTTTAGGATTTATAAATGCTTTGTTGTTGTTGTTGTTGTTGTTGTTGCACACCATCAAGTTATTTCCAACTTATGTCTACCCCATATCATAACATTTTATGGTAGGATTTATTCAAACGGGGTCCATCTTTGCCTTCCTCTGAAGGTGAGAGAATGTGACTTGCCCAACATTGCCCAATGCATTTCCATGATTGACCATGGATTTGAACTGTGGTCTCCACAATTGTAGTCCAGTGTTTAACCCACTAAGTCATGCTGGCGGTCCTGTGAAGTCATAAATGCTTTCAAATTGTATCCCTGCAATATTGAATTTATCAGATCAGGATGTAATGGTTTTGGTTTTGGACTATAACTCTGGAGACCAGAGCTCCAGTCCCTACTCAGTCATGGAAACCCACTTGGTGACCTTGTGCAAGTCATACCCTCTTGAAAATAGAGAAAAAACAATGGTTAATTCATCTGAACCAATCTTGCCTAGATGGCTCCAAGCTGAATGGAAGCTCTCAGCTTCCATAGAGTTCTTCCTCAGAGCAGCTATGGAAGAGTGGCATCCTCATGGTAGTAAATCAACTGGCCACCTCTAATAATCACAATAAATGTCGTTTATACTTTTAAGTTACTTTTGTTAAAAAAGACAAGGTTTCAGATTGGCATTTGAAAGCTTTCAAAGCTCTATTGAGTAGAAGTCGAGATTGTACCATCTCTCCAATATTGTTCTCAACATGATTCTTCAGCACAGAGCCCAGTGGGCTTCATGGCAGTCTAGCTTAATTAGGACCATGAGCAAAGCTCAACAAGGAAATATAATTCTAAAGACAAAAATAACAGTTAAGGAAAGCTGTAATTTCTTCATGATGTATGTTGGACCCAATATTTTTTAATGGTGGTCTGGGAGCCAGAAATATGTCTTGTTTTGTAAATTGGACTCCAAATTAAAGTAAGCAAGGTCTAATGATAGTGGCATTCCAGTTACAGAACACATATTCGTTACAAACTGCATTATCAAAAGGTGCTTTATTTTTTTCTTAAAATATGTGTATAAACAAACAGATATGCACATATAAGTATTAAATAAATAAATTTGGAATCCTGTTGGCTTTGTTCAATGATGACAACAGAAAATAATTGAATGTCTCTCTTACAACTTGAAAAATGTTTGTTCTTCTTAAGAATGAAATAGTAGAGTTGTTACCAAATAATAATCGAAATTTGAAAGTTCCAGAAAGGAATAGGCAATGCTTGTGATGTTTTCACCCAAGTATAGCTCTCTATTGCCAATCTCTAATGAAAAATACATTTGTATGCTCATGATTCCTATGAAAAATAATTGTTGTATACCGTTAAAATAAATGACACTATATAAAGAAAACATAAAAAGTAATATGCCATCAACACAGAAAAAAATGTAATATACTGCCCATTTTTTATAATTTGATTGTTTTGAAATGGCAAAGAAAACTTCTCAGTTTAATGAGGATGATGTGTTTTGGATGTTCTAAAATATGAGGCCCAGTTGAATATCCTAAAAAATCAGATCTTTAGGACTGAGATGTTTTTTCTGATTTGTATAACAGCATATAACTCTTTTCAGAAATCAATGCCAGTATGTCTGGAATAATTTCATAAACATAGCAGGTACTGCTATGCAGCTGATAAATATGTTGTATTTTATTTTGTAAGTGAAAATCACAAATGTCGCATAATAAATGATGTAGGCTTCAGTTACAATGTTTGAGAAATGTATTTTGTATTTCTTCAGATTCCTATTTGTAAACTGAATATTGGGATTTTTTCTTTAAAAGAAATGGAAAGAGTTAAAAAAAAACAGTGAAAATGGAATTCATAACATAACGTTCCACTGTTATTTTAACAAATGCACAGTTTCATAAATATGATATTAAATATTTTTGAATAATCTAATTTCTTAGTTTTGAGAGACTTTTTTGTACCTGTCTGTGAGCCTGAAGCTACATTGACCCTCTTTAATATTAATGTTCTCTACTAGAAGTCTGTTTCTTTGCTTCTGATTAATGCTGTCTGTCAATTATTTACAGATCCTGTGGTTTTGTGGAAGTTCCCGGAGGACTTTGGAGACCAGGTTAGAAACATAGGACTGATCTTTTTTAAATGACAGATTAATAAAAATAACAACAGCAATAATAATATCAGCATCATTTGCCTTTGTGAGGCTTTTTATAGTTTGCCTGTTCTGTTGTACAAAGGCAGATGGCCACCGATAGCAATCACAGAGTTTTCGCCTGCTGATTTGATCATTAGAATACATTTGTGGCAGGAAGCATTGTAGCTGCGTGTTAGTTGCTTTCATGAATTTATCAAATTTTGATTTTTAGTCTGGGCTTGTATTAAGACCAAGCACCACTGGTGGTGTTTTTCTTATATTCTTCTTCTGTCATGAATACAATTCCAATGGAATATATTAGAGGAACTCTGAATGATGCACAGTATGAAATCTGCCACAATGTGCATATCAACAGTGATAATCTGAGATGCTATTTTGGGCATGATTTATTATAGGATTTGGATTCAGCATTGGTATAACACAGTAACAGTGTTTATTATAACCCACTGGTGTTATCTCGGTATAGGTAGGTGATTGAATACCACTCACTCACATGCCCACTCATCCGCTTGCCCATCCTCTTTTTTGGAACAGTGTTCCTAGAAGTGGGTGGCTGAGTGGATGGATGGGCATGCAAGTGAGTGCATGCGTGACTTGGTGATTGAGTACCATCCATCCACTCATGCACACACTCATACTCCTATCCATCAACTCAGCCACTGCTTTGAGTGAGTGACTGAATGTGTGAGTGAATGAGTGGGTGAATTCCTGAAAGGGAGTGGCTGAATGGATGGATGGTGAATGGGTGATCAAGTGAGTGTGTGAATGAATGAGTGGGTGGGTGGGTTCATGGATGGATGAATTGACATGTGAGTGTGTGCATGGGTGGGCGGGCAAATGGATGAATGAATAACCAAGTGAGTGAGTGAAGGATTGAGTAGATGGGTGAGCGAGCAGATGGGTGAGCGAGTGGAAGGGAATGCTAGGCTGTTTACAGCTGAAGGGTGCCTAAATCAAAGCTGCGACTATTATGCGAGGAATTATAAAAAACTGAAACCAGAATTCCCAAAAGGATGTGCAACTATTATAACTGCCTTGAGTCGCCGATTGGCTGAGAAAGGCGGTATACAAATACAGTAAATAAATAAATAAATAAATATAATAATAGAAATAACAACTGGTAATGATAATAATAAATTTTCACTTCACTTTCTGTCTCTTGTGACAGTTGGATTTAGAAAAAATTGACTTGTTGTGGAAACAAGGATTGGTTATAAAGCTTCAGTGGAGTCCCCTTTTCCTTGTGATAACTCTTTCAGGAGTGATTTTCCCTTTCTAGGGGTAGATTTCTCTCACTTCCTGTTGTCTCACCCCTCTTCTTAACTATGACTTGTTTGTAAATCGGATGTTTGTAACTCAGACTCTGCCTGTATATCGGAAATATATGTATGTTTTTACATGATCCAACACTCCAATAATTTAAACCTTGGTGTCCAATAGCAGAATAGTAGTATCTGGAATCTTATCAGGGAAACTTGTGTTATACCAACTAAATAAGCAGCATTGCCTGGTTAAGGTGGAGATTTGTTCCACAAGTAACTAGTATTGAGAGGGCTTGGGTGCCGGTCTAATGGTAAACAACTCTTGGGAGTGAGTATGTCAAGAAGTCCTTTAGATCTCTAGATCTTATGAATCTTTATTGTTATTTCATGCCTTCAAGTCATCTCTGATTTATGGTATTTCTAGGGCCTAAATATCTTAAAGGTGCCAGACCTTGTCTGGCCTTGGAAGCCAAGGAGGTCCAGTTAGTACTTGGATAGGAGACTCCTAAGGAATGCAAAGTGCTGTAGGCTATATTTTAGAGGAAGGAACTGACTAAACCACTTCTGAGTTTTCCTTGCTTTAGAAAATCCTACGAAGTTTATGGGGTCACCATAAGTCAACAGGCAACTTGAATGTACATATACCCTGTGATACACAACTTGTGCCTTGTGTGTGTACACAAGGCACAAGCTGTGTATTATGGGGTTTTCTTGGCAGAATTTGCCCTTGCCTTCCTCTGAAATGGAGAAAGTGTGGCTTTGCTCAAGGTTATCCTTGGGCAGCTGAGTCAGAAGCTGACTTCATCTATTGCTTAGTTTTTCTTGAATAAAGCCTTGGAGAATTTAAGTAATTTGAAATGCTTGCTTGCAGAAAAGTCACAGAACTGTCTGACACATTTTTGGAAGAATAAACTACAACATCCCTCTCTCTACAATCAAAGCAGCATATTTCCTCTCTTGGAAGTCTTCACAAAATAGTCTCACATTTTCCGTTTTCCAGCAGCTTTTCGCAAGAAAGGGGCCCTTCTTCTCCCTCATCCATTCCCCTTTTTTTTTGCTTATCAGCATTCATTTATTCCCTGTGCTTTCCATTCTCCCTGAGCAAATTTGTGGCAAGAATGCTCCAAATGCCTATCCCCCCAAACCATAATGGAGTCCTGGAATATACTCAGAGACCTTTCTGTGGACGTATGCAAGGTGACTATTCCCTTTGCCTTCCCAAAAATTTAGAGTTCAGAAGCAGGAATTAGCCTTTTTAGCCAACTCACCCTAAAAAATCGACACTACACAAAAATCTCCTTTTAATTTATTTTGTTCACCACCCCAACCAGTATCCCAATTAATAAAACAAATATATCTTCTCTCAGTTTTCCAGTATAGGCAATGCTTTAAAAGAAAATACTCAAATGACCATTTTGAAGCTGAACATTGAATTTTCCTGCTTAGATTTTTCCTATTTCTCTTGGTGGCAATAATCTCTCAATAACAGAAAACAGGTTGTCGATAGGGATAACATCCAGATGGGAGGCCTACAGTGCAAAGGAGTATCTTTGGCCATTTTTTGGTCATTACCTAAAGCCAAGTTTTGGTCTAGAAGAGTCAAAACTGGAAGTAACTCCAAATACAACAGCGCAACAAGTCTCTGAGCAGACCACCGGCAGTCTGCAGACTGAACTTTGTCAAACTCCATCCTTAAATAATGTATTTTGAAACTGTAGTTTTGATTAGGCAGTGTCTTCATGACATCCACTAGCTTTAACTTCCATTAGTATGGAAACTGCAAGGCTGGAAGCAAATGTGCAAGAAACATAGAAAGAAAATTGATTCCTATAATTGGGATGATTGGAATGTGGTACTTTGCCTGGAATAGGATTCTAAAAAGCATATATTTCCTGGCAGAAATATAATAGTTGGAGACTAGCACATGGGTCTGTGAATATATATGCCTTCAAGTTAGCAGTCAATATATGGTGACTGCATTCATATATGGCCAGGTATTAACTACATTCAGTTGTCACAAAAAGGTATCATTTTTCATAATGGGAATAAGTTTGTTTTGGACTCATGCTCATTCACACAGTGCCTCCCACCCAAGGAGTTAGGAAGCAAGCATCTTTGAAAAGCTGTTTAACCCTGATAATAAATTGTCTGTTACCTTAACTACATTTTTCAGAAGTAGTCAACATTGTAACTATTATTAAAAGGATAAAAATGGAAGGAGGACAGTGTACATTCTCTGAAATGCTTGCGGCATCCAAATGTGTTTAGGATTTAGATTTTTAAAATTTTTGAATACCTGTATTTGCAGATAAGTAAAAAATGTGCGATCATTAAGACACAATCCAAATCTGAACACTGAATGTATTTATGCTTCATATACTCTTTATACATATAGTCTGAAGATAACTTCATTCTATATTTTTATAGCTTTGTGCAGGAAAAAGTTTGGAAGTTTGGACTACTTTGGATTTGAGAATTCCAGATAAAAGACACTCAACTGATATTTCTGTTTCTAGTAGCCTCTTGTTTCATTAGTCGCTACAACTGTAGAGTTGCATTCTTTATCTGAATCGAAAATTAGATAAAAATCAACTTTCAGTACGCAGTTTTTGCATACTGAGAGTATGTGTCTAGTAAAAATCTGATCTTATTAAAACTAAGAAAACTCTCAATGTAACCAGAAATATGTAATTTTAATTCTTATATAAGCTGCAGTTTAATATATCAAACTACTTGATATTAGGTAAAATATACCATATATCTGTGGATCTTTTGCAATAAATACATGGAAATACAGAATCCTAAAATTGGAAATTGGAAACAGAATCCTAAACTTGAATTGTTTTACATGTTATCATTAAATTATAACTAGTAGATGAGCACACTGGTCAGTCAATTCCATTTTATGAATACCATGAGGTATTGTTCTTATTTTGGGCAAATATTCTACACTTTCTAGGGCTTGGCTCTAATTTTAACAAATAAACACATCAGGGATTGGAGGGGGATACATTGATATTTGGAGTCTAAAGAGTTGGAAGGATTTTTAATTCATGCCATTCATCCCTGAGCACATAATAATATCACTTGTACACTTCCTGTGTCTCTGCAAATAGATGCTTGGCCATTAAAAATGTTGACTTTTCTTCCAGATAGAGGGACAGGTGGCAAGTCCAAGCACATGTATTGTTAGGTTCATCATGGTTTTGTTTTATAGCCTTTTCCACCAATGTAAAATGTTGCACTTGATCAGCATATGGTGTAGGCAAACCTCATCTTGACCACCTCTTTTGTTATCTTGTTATTGTTATAGGTCTTAATGACAGTTGTAAGCCACAGTTCTGGATGTAGGGGTTAGTCTACCCTGGGGAGAAGAGGGAGAAACAGCAGTGTGGATTATGGAAATATGAATTGATCTAAGAAGCAGCTCTCTTGTAATAGAATGGGGCTCAAAGAAAGACAGAGAAGAAGCTGGTGAAAAGACGATGGAATATGATGTGAAAATGATCATTTGAATGCTTTCTTTTCATTCCCAGCTGCTGTGTTCTGGTGAAAAGGCATGCATTTGTATATCTTAAGGCTGGGTGAAAAAGGGCCAGATGAATAGAATTACTTGTTAGATATGTTTTCATTTTGAGTCAGATAAATTATGTGCATTTTAATAGACTGTATGCATATGTTACCCATTTTATTGTA